GAGCATGACGCACGCCACCACCTGCACCCCCTGTGGAGGCCTGGGGTCCACCTGGTGCTGGGGCAGGGAAAGAGGAGCAAACAGAAGCCACGCCCCAAGCAGGGAGGCCCTGGTGGTGGCTGGGAGTTGGCCCTGTTCCATGCCTGGCTCCCCACCTCTCAACACAAGGTCTGTGCCTCAGTTTCCCCACTGAGATGAATAGGAAGCCTGTGACAGCAGTGTCCTTCAAGGGAACCATTGAGGGTGCTTGTCTCCAGGCTTGGGAGCCACGGTGCAGCAGCTGGCTCACAGCCAGTGTGGTCAGTGGCAGGCTTAGCCAGGACAACCAGGGACAGCAGTGGCCTGGGCCTCAAGGTTGCACAGTGTGGCCCCGCAGCCCTTCTCCACTCGAATGCTCAAAGACCCCTGGAGAAGCTAACCATTCCTTCAGATGGCCACCCTCAAGGGGACTCAGCAGTTCCCACCTCCTCACCGGCTACCCACCACGCATCCCTTCCCTGACTTGGCTACCACACCGCAGACACAAACATCCCCCTTATCCATTATCCTCTTTTCTGTGGGTATCCAGACCTAGCTGGGGCCAATGCCTGGCCTGAGGGAGCTCAGTGCCCTGTGGTATAAAGAGATTCATGAGAACCAAGACCGGGCCAGGGGCAGCTGTGGATGCTGTCTGTGTCTGTGTGTCTGTCCCCCCTCCCAAGCCCAAAGCTTCCCTTGCCTTAGAGCTCATCTCTGACTGCAGACTTGCCTGGACCCCTGAGGGGCACCTCTTTAGGCACTATCTTGGGTGTGAGCAGGCAGGGGCATTGGATGAAGTGGGAGAAGCTGCAGGGTGAACATGGGGTGGGCAGCCGGGTCTGGATGCAGGGAACAATGGTCTTCCTCGTGGAGTGTCTCCAGGTCTCCAGGCAGGGGAGGACAAGCTGGGAAGACCCTGGGCCTGGGGAGTAGATCCCAGACAGGACAAGGACTGGAACTGTCACGTTTTCTAACTGTTCACAGAACGAAGAGGTCCAAAGGTGGCTGCCCTAAGACCGAATGCTGGGGACTGTCTGTGCCCTCTGAGGCAGACGCAGAGGGACTTTGGCTGCTAGGTCAGGCGCAGAGGAACCCATGCTAATCTGGAATAAGCAAGGAGCCAGGTATGCCTGGGACACAGGTGACATGTCCTGGGTGTGAAAACGGTCACTTCCTGGACCATTCCTGGTCCCTGCCACATCTCAGCCCTGACCCTGGGCAAGCCAGTACGCCTCTGCCTGGCACCTGTGAATGAGCCACATGGGAGGTGACCCCCAGGGTGCAGACTTGTTGGCATCAGTTACCTGAGTCAGCACTTGTGGGAGCACAAGGTTTGGGTTCTGGGTTCAGACTTCAAGCTTACTGTGTGTTCTTAGGCCTATTCCTCACCCTCTCTGGGCTCAGGATATCTGTTTCCACCACATCCACTGGATAACTCCTGAGTCTCATGAAGGAGGCTTCCTGATCGTCCTGTCTTTCCCTCGTGGTCCCATCAAGGTGAGACAACCAGGCTCCTCACCTCAAAGGAAGAGGCCCCATGCCTCCAGCAGTTCTGTCTTCTTGAAGCCAGAGCCTGGGACTGCAGGACGTGGCAAACCCATCCCTCTGGTGTTGGAATGGGCCCAGACTTCTCGGCTGTTATCACAGACTGAAGTTCCTCAGAAAGCCAAACAGAGAGGACGGGAGTTCTAGGAGATAAGACAGAGAGCATTCCAGGAAGACAGCTGTCCGCTGACAGACGGACAGACAGACAGTCCTTCCCAAGATGTGTACACAGCCTTTAAGTTCAGGCAGGGTGAGTCTCGCCTTCTGGGACTCACCCCCATCCCACCATTTAGCACAATGTCACTGGTACCCTACCCTGGACCTCAAGTCCCAGCTCAAACGCTCCCTGCTGGACTGACAGGTGATTAGAGGGTCAAGGTGGGGAGGGTGCACCAGCCAGCTGCCCCAGACTTTGTCATCCTGGGCTTGATGGTGCCCTAAGGGAGTAGACAGGAGGTGGGCATGCTGAGAATACAGGTAGGGGGATTGCCAAGATCAAGGCCAGCCTGGGCTACAACATGAACCTACGTCTCATGAAAACATATACAGAAGCGTAAGAAGAAAGAAAAGCCGGGGCTGGAGAGATGGCTCAGAGGTTAAGAGCATTGCCTGTTCTTCCAAAGGTCCTGAGTTCAATTCCCAGCAACCACATGGTGGCTCACAACCATCTGTAATGAGGTCTGGTGCCCTCTTCTGGCCAGCAGGCACACACACAGACAGAATATTATAATAAATAAATATAAAAAAAAAAAAAAAAAGAAGAAAGAAAAGCCAAGCGATAATTAAAGACTAAAGACTGTGGCCTGGGAGGGCTGAGGGCACAGGCTCGGAAAGGGTGATAAGGAGTCTTCCCAGCAGTAAAGTCAAGGAAGGAGCGAGGTGTGGTGGCGAAGAGCAGTCCCAAGACAGACGCACACGGGGACAGCGAGGGACCCAGATGTGGAGGGGTAGAACAGGGAAGGCATTACTCTCCTCAGCCTCCCAAGGTCTGGGTTCATCGGCTGCCGTGGCCAAGGAGATTGAAGAGTGGCCGGCCTTGAGGAGCAGAGCAGGAGGCGGGAGGCCTGGTGTGCTCAAGAGTGCGTGCAAGGGACCTGAGACTGGTCCTGAGGGGGGTTGGTCAGGAGACTGGGGCTGTGACCCTACACATGAAATTTTAGGTGTTCCTGTGAGGTGGGCCTACCACTGCCTTCCTGGAGGAGGCACTCCAGGTGAGCTCCCCTCACAGAAGCCCTGAGCATTCTGGGGCATGTTGGTGATCATCAGATTCTGTTTCCTGGTGACCAGAGCTACAGGGGTTTCATGTAGTCCAGGCTGGCTTCCAACTGGCTATGTACCCAAGGTTGACCTAGAACTCCTTCTCTGCCTCCTGAGTACCCATTCACACTGAGGAAGGAACAGCTGAGCCACATCCCTGCCCCCACATCCCTGCTCCCCACATCCCTACCCTCCAGCATGTGTTTCTTGGTTCAAAGCCAAAGTAGGTTCCCTGACACCAGACTGCTGTATCAAGATAAAGAGTCCCCAGGCAGCCCTAGGGTTAAGGATGGGACCCAGCTGGCCTCCCCTTCCATCCGGCATCACGGTCACAGCTAGTTGCAAGGGAGACCAGACTGTGTCACTCCAGGTGGCTGCACCCAGCTAGAAATGACCAGCCAGTGACAGGGATAGAGGGAGCACGCAGTAAGCCTTGGCTCTTATCCCTTGCCCCTCAAACTGGAGCATCAAAAACAACCTAGGTCTGTTTCTCCTAGGAGGAGAGCAGCCATGGGGGTCACTAGCTTTCCCTAGCCCCCATCCACTCAGGCACGTTTGTGCCACAGTAGAGCACTAAGGCAGAGCACTGTGTTGGGAGCACCATTGTCTGTGAGAGCAGGGACAAGAGGCTACCTGGCCAGGCAAGGATAGGGGACAGACCCCTGGGCCAAGAGTGTTTGGTCGCAGCCATTTCCTCACCCGCTCTGCCCTCTCAGGGACTAACTGGTCCTCTTCAGGGAAGGGCCAGTGAAGGGAAGCAGCTGCACTCAAGGCTGTGCAGGAAGCCAGGCCTCTGCTGGATGACATCGGTGGATGTCAAAGTGAGAGGCTGCCCCTGAAGGAAGCCATGCTGAGGGGGGTCACACGATGAGTCACAGAGCAGCAGTGGACACTACTGGGCCTGGAGGGGTGGTTCAGTGGTTAAGATGCTGGCTGCCCTTGCCCGAGGACAGGGCTCAGTTCCCAACATCCACAAGGCAGCTTACAACTGCCTGTAACTTCAGTTCCAGGAATCCCAGTGCCCTCTTCTGACCCCCACTGGCATTGCATACACACGGTGCACATACAGACATTCAGGCAGGCACAGCACATACACACATATGTATGTACATGCAAATATATACATGTACACACATACACATTTGCACACGCATATACATATATGCACACACATACACTAAACTAAAATATTTAATTTAAAAATGTAGGTAAGCCGGGCAGTGGTGGCGCACGCCTTTAATCCCAGCACTCGGGAGGCAGAGACAGGCGGATCTCTGTGAGTTCGAGACCAGCCTGGTCTACAAGAGCTAGTTCCAGGACAGGCTCCAAAGCCACAGAGAAACCCTGTCTTGAAAAACAAAACAAAAAAAAAAAATTAAAAAAAAAATTAAAAATGTAGGTATTGTGGCACCTGTCTTTAATCCCATCACTTAGAGGCGAGTTCGAGGCCAGCCTGGTCTACAAAGCAAGACCCTGTCCTTCTGCTGACACGAGAACAGATGCCTTTTAAGATGATTCAGCTCTGCCCCCTGTGGCATGAAGAAGAAGCTGAGTGTCCAGTATGGCTTCTTGAGCAGGTGAAGGAACCCTGGCCAGCGGGGGCCTGGACTGTAACCTCCCACTCTGCGCAGCTTCAAGGGCTGTAGAGGGAACACTCTGCTGCTGGCTGACTACTCCCGGTCCTTCACATCACTGGGTGGCCGATGGGGCACAGGGAGCATAGCTCCTGCCAGCTGTGGGCTCGTAAACCCTCCCAGGGCTGGGGAGGCAGGCAGCACCACCTCCAGGGAGCGCTCCTGACGGCCCTGGCCAGTTATGGTGGTCTCCACAAGAGTGAGTGGTTCTGAACTGCCACCCCTCTTGCTAACTTGTCCCCGGTCCTTGGATGACCACCAAGCCCTGATCCTGGTCCCACTGGGTGCACCCTTTGTGCCTTGTATTTGTAAAGCGAGCTTGCTGGTAACGGTCATTTAAAGGAGTGGGTGAGGGCCTGAGTCCTCTCTCCCTCAGGAGGCAAGGCCCTCAAGGGTTAACCAGGAGCCTTCCTGCGGTCTGAGGTAGGCAGGGAGCGTATTTGTTCAGGTAAATAAGGAAGGATTACTTATAATGGGAAACCTGGCGGGCCAACTCCGTGTCTTACTTCTGACTTCCTTCCAGTGCATTCCTGCACTCCGACTGCTGTCCACTCCACCTCCCACCCCACCCCCGGCCGCTGCTGCCCCCCCCCCCGTGGGCACCCCAGCTTAGGCCTCGCCATGGTGCCAACAGGTGGCCCTGAGCCTCCAACAGGGGCCTGCCTGTAGACCCTCAGGCCTGAGACCTCAGACTACCCCTTAAGGGTGGATATAGGCCCTGGTGGCCTACCGGAGGGCCACCTCTGCCACAGCCCCACTGGCCCCACGGATGTCTGGCTGAGTCGCAGCAGCGGTTGGAACTGCCCACTGTCTCCTCCTGGTTCCCGAGGTTTGCGCTGCAGAGGACAGCAGGCGGCTAACGGGTGAGTGTGGTAGGAGGCAGTGTGCCCTTCCACAGGGCTTCCTGCCACCTGGGGGGAGGCTGGTGGCTGCCACGAACTGGAAGAATACTTTGCAAGCTTGGAGACATATTCCAGACATGTTCCATTGGGAACACTTTACAATACAATCCTGTCCCTTCCATATGCTGCCATTTGCCTTGCTGGGTCAGACCAGAGCTTAGGGGGCACCCCCTTTTCCGGGGTTTCCATATCTGTGGACCCAGCACAGAGCCCATTCTATGCAATTTGAGGGGAACGTGGCGATGCGGGTATATGGCACCCCTGGGTCTGACCAACTGTGCCCCAACTCAAGCAGCTGTCCGGTCACCGCACCCTAGTTGCTCTGCCAGAGAGAAGGAGTGGTATTTTCCTGGCCACAGTGGACAGACAGGGGCCCACTGGACTTGGGGGCTCAAGGCATGAACTAGAGCCCAGGAAACTGAGTGAGCATGGTAACACAGGCTGGCAGTCTGGGGGTCAACACCTAGGCACCCAGAAAGCAGAGGGATCATACAAGGAAAAGAACAGTGTGGGGGTGGGTGTTCTGAGGTGCTCACTCTTTAGTTTTTTTGGAGGTGTTTATTCCAAGACTGGCCTTACTCACTATGTGGGTCAGGCTGACCTCCAGCTCACAGATCCACCTGCCTCTGCCTTGGAGTGCTGGGATTGAAGGCGTGTGCCACCATACTGGCTGCGGTTTGAGCTGCTTTCTGTAGCCCCGGAGTAGTACAGGCTGGTCTTGAGTTCACGTTAAACCTTACCCTGAAGGCACTCATTTCTGCTGGTTTAGGTGTTTATAAATTGCATTTATTTTGAGAGCGCGTGTGTACCGGGGTAGGGTGTTGATGTGGGGTCAGAGGGCAGCCTGCCTCCTGGAGTCCTGTAGAGCTACATCTGCCTTGACTCCTGAGGACCACCATGCCCAGCTTGGAGTCCGTTCTTGCTTTTATCATTTGTGCCAGGCTTGGTCACAACTGTCTTTACTTGCTGAGCCGTCTTGCCAGCTCCAAGGCACTCATTTCTAAACTGTCAGACTCCTATAGTGAGGAGAGGAGGGCGAGCGTAGTAGGAATGACAGGGTTGAGGGCCTGAGCCCCGGAGGTGCCCCTGAGGCTGGCCGAGGGGTGTGTGTGTGTGTGTGTGTGTGTGTGTGTGAGAGAGAGAGAGAGAGAGAGAGAGAGAGAGAGACCCCTGAGGCTGGCCAAGGTGTGTGTGTGTGTGTGTGTGTGTGTGAGAGAGAGAGAGAGACAGAGACAGAGAGAGAGACAGAGAGAGACAGAGAGACAGAGAGACAGAGAGACAGAGAGAAAGAGACAGAGAGTGACCCCTGAGACTGGCCAAGGTGTGCCTATGTGTGTAGGGGGTATGGGTATGTGTGTAAGAGCATGTGCATGCATGGGTCCCCTATATGGGCCCCAGACCTCTTGCCTCCACTCCCAGCAGTGTCCAACAGCCCCAGTCCAGTCACAGGCCTCCATGGCTGACCCCATCCCCCTGGCCAAGACGGAGACTCAGCTCATTTCCTGCCCCCACCTCCCCAAGCAAACAGCTTCAAGACAACCCCAATAAAGCTGCAGGGCCCCATACCAGCTGCTCCCTGAAGTAACAAAGTAAACAGCCCTGCAGCTTCCCCCAGCCCAGGAAGAGGGCAGAGCGAGCAGGTGCTGCCCACCGCACGTGCGATGGTTCCAGCAAGCTGAGCGTCTGATGCTGCCTGGAAGAGTACCCCATCCCAGCACACGGGCACTGGGAGGCCGAGGAAGGGCAAGGATGGTCTCGCTGGGTCTAGGAGCCTGGCTGTAAGTGGTCCAGCATCTCTCCCATGCCAGGTGTGGTGGGTGCCCACTGCTGAATATTGTGTTCTGGAAGTTTTACCTGTCAAAGATGCTCAGGACCCTGTGACTCAGGCGTGACTCCCCTGCCATCCAGACCCAAGACAAAAGGGCTACACCCATTGGATGTCCAGTGGCTGCTAAGAGCAGGGCCTGCAGGGAACCAGAACAGGAGGCTAAGCTGGCTGGCTAGCTGTGGCCCATGCTGAACCCAGAAAGGGTCAGCTCTAGCTGGCTGGAAGCCCAAGGCCCCGCATGCGGAGTAAGAAAGGATGGGTTAAGGATCACGGGGCATCTCTCTTACTCGGAGTGTTTGTAGCCCTTGTCTGTTGAATAGGAAGGTTATACACCATAGTCTCCCCACGAAGGGAGATGTCCTGAAGGAGATGCTGGAATGGGAGTCTGAGAGCTGCTTAGGAGCTGGCTAGACATTGGCTGGACTTGCCAGCTTATATCCTAGGCTTGCGGGGGCATACAATGGGCAGGGATTCCTGGCTGTGGCTCCCACCAGAAAGTAAGGTGGTATAGATGAGGCCAGCAGCTATCCATACCTGGGCAGAGTGGGGGAAGGGCAAGGAGCCCAGACCTCCCTCTCCTCCACCCTCAAGTCTCTGCCATTTCACTTAGTGGGGTGCCAGTCTTCCCTTGTTCTCATCCATCCTTCCTCTCCTCCCTCTCTCCAGTCTCTCCCCTCACCAGTTCCCAGGTGAGCAATCAGGCATGCTCCACCGTGGTAATCCCCAGGAAAGCCTTCTGCCAGTGCTCCAACCCCTTCACACCAGGCAACCCACAGCCTTAACACACAGCACAGCTGTCTCAGAAGAAATGCTTCCACAGCCAGAGCTGGAGGACGGGAGGCAGGACCTAGCTCTGGCCTGGGACCCTCCCCTCGTCCCTTCCCCGAGCCCCCACAGGCAGCTCAGCAGGTAGAACTGCTCTTCTCAAAGCAAACCTTGGCACCGTTGCCCTGGGCCCTTGCTGACATTTAACGCTCTGGGCTCCAGCTGCCACTGTGAAGCCTGAACCTGCCACTCCTTTCCCACCCTTCCTGCTGATCATTCCTGGCCACCCTGAGACCTCACTAGTATCCTGCTGGGGACATGGGACAAGGGCCTCCCAGCACAGAAGAAAAAGACAATGAGGCCTCTCAGGGTTCTTCCAGGGAGGCACCCCTACCCCCAGGGCTGAGATGGGAACCCTGAGTGGCTGGGTTCAGGTAGCAGGGGGCTCCCAACCAGAAGGGGACATAAGTCTAGGGGCACTTCCTGTCGCACCTCCTCATCTGTCCCAGCCTCCGTGGACCGTTCATTCTGGGTCTTGATTGGTTGTGGGAGGAGTGGGAAAGAGAGGAGCCGCTGTATTTTGCCCTCTGAGGAGGGTCCCTGGGCTCAGACGTGGGAAGCCTGTGCTGCTATAGAGGGAAGGCAGCCCCAAGGGCCCCGAGGGCTCCCTGAGTAAAGGACTTCTCTGGAAGACTCACACACACAGGAGACCAAGTAAAGATGGAAACTGCAGTTTCTGGAAAACTCTGACAGTCAGGCAAAAAGCGCAGCAGGGTAGTCAGTGGACTCTTCAAGCCCCAGCCTCCCCCAGGCTCCCCGGGGGCTGGGGCCTTGCTGGCAGCAGGAGGAGGAACAGGCTGACAGTGACTGCTGTCACATGGGAGCCTCTCAGAACCTGTGAACACAAATTCCAGGGACAATTAGGGACACTCAGCTATGTCTTTCTTTTCCTCCCACTTCTCATTTTATAAGGACAAGGTCCCATGTAGCCCAAACCAACCTCAGACTACACTGGGGTAGTAGCTGGTCTGTTTGGTGGAGGGAGGCCAAGCCAGCACTCCGGACACCGCAGGGTGTCAGTGAGGAGGCCTGATTCCCCTCACCTCAAGGGATATAAGGAAGGGCAAGGCTGTTGGGTGCCAGAGCCTTGAAAGGCAGAGATGGGCAGGGGAGTGGCAGGCCAGGGAGAGACTGGAGCGTGCAGGGGGGAGGTCAGGAAAGTGGTGAGCCTGAGATCCCTAAGGCTTGGACTGACCCAGCTCTCTCCATGGTGCTGACAAGCCTGTGGGTATTGGGGTGCAGGCGTGGGGGACCTCCCACTCTGTGGGGCTCTTCGTCAGGTCCTACTCTCGCTCCATACCCTGTCTCTAGCCTATTTAAGGGGTTCAGAGGTTGGGAGGACTTGGGGAGTGGCCAGCAACTGGGGCCAGACCTCACAAAGTCAGGCCACCGGAGGCTGAGCAGGGGGTGACAGTGGCTGACACATCCCTCAGGGCCACTTTCCCAGGTCCTGAAACTGGGTCTCAGGACAGGGGGTGGCCTAAGGCATTTTCATGCTCCATCACCTTCCCTAGGAGGCTGGGTCTAGAAAAAGAAACCCCACAGGCCATAGAGGACAGGGGCTCCTGACACACAGCCACCAGGCATTTCATGAGGGTCTCCTGGACAAACTTCATTCCCTGAGGATGGAGTGTTGGATATGAGCAGAAGACACGAGGGGCAAAGGTGGCCCCGAAGGGAATGGGGTGCTCAGTCTCCACCATTGGTTTCTCTGTGCCCTACTTATCTTCCTCGGGGACAGGAGTTACTTAGGGATGGACTCCAAGCTATGAAGGTCTACCCGCTAACCCTCCAGTGTGACCCTGCCTCTTGACGGCCTGCACCAGCTGTCACCAAGCTTTCTTTTGTCTGGAGAGGCAGCCAGGGCTTCTGGGGCAAGAGCAAGCCAGACCCACTGAGCCTTAATCCAGACTCTACCCCCTGAGATCAGCTTGAGGTTTGGAGATGGGAGGGATCACTCGGGAGACTGTAACCCTGGGCAATTGAGAGGGACAGAGAGTAGCCCGTGTTCAACATGCTGGCAGACCGCAGGCTTGTTTTGGGATCTCAGGTCTACAGAGCAGGTCTCTGGTTAGGTCCTGATTCCTCTGCGTGGGTCTGAGTCCCTCCCTGCCACTACCTGAGCTTCAGCCTTCCCCAAGTCCTCATATTCCCATAGGCAGATGGCTTTTTGAGGATATAGTCATGGACTAAGTTGCCAGTCACGGGGTGGGGGGACATTAGAAATGGAGATACCAGAAGGGCTCCATGGGGGTGCGGGTCTAGGGAGCCAGGATGAGAAAAAAATGGCATCTTGGGAAAGAGGACAGCAACATGGGGGAAATAGCATGACTATGTCCCCTGCAAGGAACGAGGTGAGAAATGCCAGCGTCATCAGAGCCTGGATGTGAGGAGAGCATGCTTACTGGGTTCTGGCTGCCACACAGAGCCTTTCCACATTCTGAGTTTCATCTGTGCGATGCTGAGATAGAACCCAGGACTTCACGCATGCTAACAAGCACTCTACCAGCTCAGCCACATCCCAACCTGTGGAGCCAGGCCGGCAGTCGGAGCTGTGCCTGCCAGGTGCTTGAGCAAAGTCTGATAAAAGGGCATTAGAAGGAAATGAACCTGGCAGTGGCGTGGGATGAGCAGCCAGGAGCAGAAGGAGAACCTTGGAGAATGCAGGGACCCAAGCAGGAGGTGGCCAAGATATCCCAGAAGAGGGAGAGGGCCAGAGCCGATGCCCTCAAGAGACTGTGGTCCAAGGAGCAGAGCCCACACATGGGCGGGTTACACTCTCCTAAGCCTGGCCATCATCTATTGGGGAGATTCCAGTCCATGTCCCCAGGCTGTGGGTGGCTGTCCTACCTAGGGTTTCTATTGCTGCAATGAGACACCATGACCAAAGTGACCTGGGGAGGAAAGGGTTTATCTGAATGACACTTCCACATCATAGTTCACCCCTGAAGGAGATCAGGACAGGAACTCAAACAGGGCAGGAACCTGAGGGCAGGAACTGATGCAGAGGCCATGGAGGAGCTGCTTACTGGATTTCTCCTATGGCTCACTCAGCCTTTCTTTCTTCTTCTTCTTTTTTTTTTTTTGTTTGTTTGTTTTTCGAGACAGGGTTTCTCTGTGGTTTTGGAGCCTGTCCTGGAACTAGCTCTTGTAGACCAGGCTGGTCTCGAACTCACAGAGATCCGCCTGCCTCTGCCTCCCAAGTGCTGGGATTAAAGGCATGTGCCACCACCGCCCGGCTTTCTTTCTTTCTTTCTTTCTTCCTTCCTTCCTTCCTTTCTTTCCTTTCTTTTTTGAGACAAGGTTTCTCTGTAGCTTTGGTGCCTGTCCCAGAACTAGCTCTTGTAGACCAGGCTGGCCTCGAACTCCCAGAGATTCGCCTGCCTCTGCCTCATAAGTGCTGGCATTAAAGGCGTGTGCCACCACCGCCCAGCTCAGCCTTCTTTCTTATAGAACCCAGGACCGCCAGCCCAGGGATGTTACCACTGACTGTGGGCTGGGCCTTAACCCATCAATACTAATCAAGAAAATGACCTACAAGCTTGCCTATAACCTGATCTTACAAAGGCATTTTCTCAATTGAGGCTCCCTCCTCTGAGATGATTTTAGCTTGTGTCAAGTTGACAAAACTATCCAGCACAGGGTGTGTGGGCACCCTTGCATGACAGCATCCTCTGTGACACCCTTTGCTCAGGCCTCAGCCCAGCTGCAGGCATGAGGAGTCAAAGGTGCAGCCAGCCATTGAGCCAAGCCACCAGGCCCCAGGCCTCAGGGACCCTTTCCTAGGTGGCATACATAGTTCACTGTTCCGTCAGGGGAGCCCTGGATTGGGATGCCGAGAGAGAGAGGAGGCTGGAGTCTCTGCTGGGGAAGGGTCCAGAAGGACTCTCCCACCCATAACACAGGCTAAGAAGAAAGTTTAGACTGCCTCCCCCGGGGAGCGTGTGGGTGCCAGGGCTATGAAGCCCACTCAACAGACGAAGTAAGAACGTGGCAGTACATAGCACCTGGGTCAGCACTGGCCCCGCTTGCCACAGTGCCTGGACCCCAGCACCTGTCCGCCCCCCCCCCCACACCTGTGGCTGAGACCAGGCAAACAGGGCCACGGAGCATCGAGTTCTGTCTCTTGGAAAAGCTTACAGCTGGGCACAGGGCCCAGGGAGCTGGCAGGGACTATCCTAACGTGGCAGACGTGGGGCTGCTGGGGCTGTGGATTGGGCAGGAGGCCACTGAGGGGTGAAGGAGGAGGGATGGAGACTGGAGAAGGCTCTCTTGGGGTGGGGCTACCACCTGGGATATAGGGTGTGGGCACAGACCAGGGTGGGGACACTGCCTTGGTAAACACCAAGGGCCCATGGCACACACACATGTTTGCACAGAAGGACTTGAAATTAATCCAGGCCTGCCCTCTGTCCCCCGAAACTCCAGACACCCCCGCCCCTGCCCACCCCACCCACCCAAACCTTTTCTTCCTTGTCACTTAAAGGATTCTTTGAAAGGAAGAGTTGGAACCAGAGGTAACAACACCCTCTCCTCCTTTGTTGGATTTCTCTCTCTGCAGGAGCCTTCAGGGCTGTGTTGGAGAGTGGGAAAGCCTGGGCATGAGCAAGGGGGTAGGCATGAGCAAGGGGTGGGCACTGAACAAGGAGAAGGTTGGCATTAAGCAAGGAGAGGGTGGGCATGAGCAAGGGGGTTGGGGAGAGGAAGCTGAAATTCATCTCAGCTCACAGAAACCTGTTTCTTGAGTTGTAGGGCATTTTCAGACAGGTCAGCTGTGGTCCTGAAGAAACCCAAGGGTTTTTCCAGTCTGGGCCTTTTCCTTTGCCCCTGCAGTGGCAAAAGCCAGCTGCATGGTGGGCCCTACAGAGTGACCAGAGATGGAGCCAGGTACCTGGTTCTCCCCAGCACAGCTACAATTCTAGCACTTAAAAGTTCCAGGAGGCAGGAGGACCAGATGGTCCAGGCCAGCCTGTGTTACGCCAGACCTTAAGAAAAACTGCCCTCCACCTGCCCGTGTCCCATCTTCCAGCCAGCCCTGTACTCACTGCCCAGTGAACCAGAAGCCCCCAGGCCTCTCCCAGGCCCAGCCCACTGCCTGCTGAGCCTTGAGTCTTGTAACCAGCTTAGTGACTCCCACAGAGCCAGGGCAGCCGTGAGACCCACCTCCCTTCTCTGACTTCTACAGACGCAGCCACAAGACTCAGCGGCAGCATGGGCAGTGCCAGTCCGGGCCTGAGCGTCGTGTCCCCTGGTTGCCTGCTGCTGTCCCCAGATGTGGCACTGCGGACAGGTGTGGAGAAGCCGGCCGTGGAAACAGTGGGTTCTGAGAAGCGGGAATGGAGCCCCAGTCCACCGGCCACCCCTGAGCAGGGCCTGTCTGCCTTCTACCTCTCCTACTTCAACATGTACCCCGAGGATGGCAGCTGGGTAGCCAAGGTCCCCGCGGCCAGTGCCAGGGAGGAACCGCTGGAGGAGCCTGAGCAGTGTCCGGTCATTGACAGCCAGGCCTCTGGGAGCAGCCTGGATGAGCACTCACTAGAGCAGGTGCAGTCCATGGTGGTGGGCGAAGTCCTGAAGGACATTGAGACCGCGTGCAAGCTACTCAACATCACAGCAGGTGAGACCCTCCCTGCCACCTCCACCGGGGACTCTGATCACCCTGGGCAGCCCAGGGCACACAGAAGCTGGAGCCAGGGCCGTGCCCACCCACACTGCCCCCTCTTAGTGGATAAAGAGCATTCACGCGCTGTTTCGTCTAGCGCCCCGCCTTTTCTGTTCCACCCACTTGGTCTCCCTTCTTTTCCACAACGCTCACCCCAGGACATTTGCACCTGCTGGTCCTTCAACCTAGAATGCTTTTCTCAAGGATTAACGTCCTGAGCCCCTCCCTGGCCAACTGCAGGCTTAACTGGCAGCAACCCCATGAGGCTGCTGATCCTCTGTTGAGATTGTCTCCCACTGACTGACTTGCCACTCACCCTACGGGGACTGGGGTTCTGAGCAGCTGACAGGATGTAGAGGTCCCTCTGTGTGTGGAGCTGGCCTGATGGAGCATAACTGAATAGTCGAATGTGGTCCCAGTCAACTGATGGGGGGCTGTGAGGAGGAGGGGGTACCAAGGAACAGGCTGTGCGTGTGTGTCTCTGTGTGTGTGTCTGTGTGTGCACGTGCGTGTGTATCTCTGTGTGTGCCTGGTCTGGTGTGTGTCATGGCTAGTGCTTCAGGTTGGATGACTGAGGGACAGGAAGTCCTGATCTCCATCCTTTAGTTTTCCCATGGGAAGTAGGGACTTCTCTTGCCCCTCAGCTCCTACTCCACCACCCCAATCTGCTTGATGCTCCCAAGTGGTGTCCCCATTCCAGGTAGCTCCTACTCACATCTCCTTGTCTCCATTTTCCCACACTCCAGAGAGCCCTGCCCCAGGAGGCTCTCCCACGGTACCACTTCCCTATCCCTGCTTGGGAGGGCTGTGCTCTCAGAACAATGGACAGAAACAAATTGCATTGACCTCAAGGAAGAAAACGGCCTTATGAAGTGGGAGCAGCCTAGCTTGCGGGTCACTCAGCTGGGACACTGGCTTGAAGCGGTGTTCTCCTGGAGGCCTCACTGCCACTGTGACCCAGTCTGGTTCCAGCTATGTGCCCCCAGAGCCGTTTCCCAGGGGACACACATAGCTGGTGAATCAGTTCCCCCACCTTTAGCTGATCTATAGCCAGTTGGGGCAGCTGCTATGAACCCAAACGCGTTTGCAAAGTGTTGGACAAGGGACGCACCCCTCCCCTCACGCACCCCTGTTTCCTTGTCTCTAGAATTCCAGGATAAAGGGTTCCTGGGTGGGTTTTCTCCTTGAGAAGATTGTGGGTTTTTTTTTTTGTTTTTTTTTTGTTTTTTGGTTTTTTCGAGACAGGGTTTCTCTGTGGCTTTTTGGAGCCTGTCCTGGAACTAGCTCTGTAGACCAGGCTGGTCTCGAACTCACAGAGATCCGCCTGCCTCTGCCTCCCGAGTGCTGCGATTAAAGGCGTGCGCCACCATCGCCCGGCCAAAAATAAGGTGGCTGGAGAGACAGCCGTGGGTGCTGGGAACCGAACTCTTATATTTTTGGTTGTGAGCCTAGCCTTTAATGGCTGAGCCATCTCTCCAGCCCTTGAGAAGATTGTGAAAAGGCAAGAGGTATCTGGCTGTCTGTGGTTGAATGCCACTGTCCCCTTCAGAGCTAGTGTCTCCCCAGAGGCCCCGTGAGGGGCTAGACAGACACCTGTTTGTGATGGGGTTGCAGAGGCAGCAAGCTTGTGTTAGGACCATGGCTCTTCCTTCTCAATTCCTATTTGGTGGAGTGTCTGCCGCCATGGAGCTCCTTGAGGCTCCAGATGTCATGGTCGGCCGCTTTTGGGGTGGCGCCCACCAGCAGTCTCCAGCTAAGATGCTGTCTCTTGCCCAGACCCTGGGGACTGGAGCCCTGGTAACGTACAGAAGTGGCTGCTGTGGACGGAGCACCAGTACCGGCTGCCTCCAGCAGGCAAGGCCTTCCAGGAGCTGGGCGGCAAGGAGCTGTGTGCCATGTCGGAGGAGCAGTTCCGCCAACGTGCGCCCTTGGGTGGGGACGTGCTGCATGCCCACCTGGACATCTGGAAGTCAGGTAAGACATGAAGCTGCACGGGCCAGGTCCCTCCTGGCTCCAGGCTGGCCTGGAACTTGGTCGATCTTTTTGCCTCCCTAGTGCTGAGATTACAGGCACACATCCCATGCCCAGCTTTTTAAGGTTAGCTTTATTTTTTATTAAAGAGGTAGTGACTGAACTCAGGCTCAGTCAGCTTGAGCTCGAGCCCTGGCACCTGCATGTTAGGAGAGAACGGACTCCCCCAAATTGTCCTCTGACGTTCACACGAGCGATGGCACACCTGTGTTTACACACACAGCGTTGTTCTCTGGCACTTTGGAGGATTCTGCGTTTGCTCATTGGGTCAAGGCCCCTTCCCTTAGAGGGCTGGGAGACTGGGGGACAGGACCCACTCAGGTGACTCTGTGAATGGTCAGTGCCTGCCCCAGCCCGGGCGCCTGACCAGCAGATTCCCTGGCTGATGGCCTAGCAGTGGGCAGAGGGGGTAGTCGAGTGGGTAGCTAGAGAGAAAGGCCTGGTGCAAACGCTGAGGGCCAGCCCTCAGCACTGCCGCCTGGCCACAGCTCCAAAGAATGTCCCTGTGCGGTTTCACAGTGAGGAAAGGTAAGCCCCTGAACACAGAGCCCATGCAGTCGCAGCTCCGACATTCCCACTCCCGTGATAGGCGGGAGGCAGGGAGCTGTAGGACCCCAGCCACGGGGGACCTCAGCTGGATATCCAACCTCCCCTACTTGTCCCACAGCGGCCTGGATGAAGGAGAGGACCTCGCCCGGGGCCCTTCACTACTGCGGTGAGCCGGGCAGGCGCAAGAAGGCCTGGTGGGGCTGAGGGAGGCTGCCCAGGGAAGCGGGTGGTGGCCATGCCACTCACCCTACCGCCCTGGCTTCCAGCCTCCACCAGCGAGGAGGGATGGACAGACGGCGAGGTGGATTCGTCGTGCTCCGGGCAACCCATCCACCTGTGGCAGTTCCTCAAAGAGCTGCTGCTCAAGCCCCACAGCTACGGCCGCTTCATCCGCTGGCTCAACAAGGAGAAAGGTACAATACCCCCTCCCAGAAACACACACACACACACACACACACACACACACACACACACACGGCTCAACAAGGAGAAAGGTACAATACCCCCTCCCAGAAACACACACACACACACACACACACACACACACACACACACACACACACACACACACACACACGGTCACCAGGGCAGGGAGGGCTTAGAAGGGGGCGTGACTTATGGCAGAGGGACAGGTCTACAAGGTCTACAGTGGGAGGGGTCAGAAGGGGAGGGGTGGGGCCTATGTAGGGCGGAGCTGCGTGTCTGTGGGGGCGGGGTTCAGAGTACTGAGAGGGGGAGGGGCTGGGTCAGGGACATGGCTTCTTTAGGAGGGGAGGAAAGGCGGGGTTCATATGGAGTGGAACTCCTGCTGGAAACATGGGCAGGGCTGGGGCAGGGCTTCTTCTAGGCAGAGATGGGCACAGGGCTCTGGCAGGGATGGAGAGCATGGGCGAAGCTGCAATTGAGGTGGGGTTGGGGCGTGGCTCCAGCTGAGAGAGGTGTGACCTAGTCTGACTCCGCCTTCACTCTGTGCCAAAAGCGCCACTCAGAGATCTGTACCCCTGCAACTCCAAGGATTTCAAGGTTTAGGGTGTTGTTTGTATCCTCATCAGCCTCTCCACCAGGCTGGCACTGGCACTAAGATTCCTTCACCTCACAGCGCCTGGAACACAGTGCGAACTTGAGAGCGTTTGCCGAGAATGGGAAAACGTGGCTTCAGTAGGGCATGGTGGCACAGGTCTTTAAGGTCCCGCCCCCAACCTCTGCAGGCACCAGGCATGAACTTACAGACACACAAGCAAAACACTTACCACATGCAGTAATAAAATAAATCTTTGGGGCTGGAGAGATGGCTCAGCGGTTAAGAGCACTGACTGTTCTAGAGGTCCTGAGTTCAATTCCCAGCAGCCACATGGTGGCTCACAGCCATCTGTAATGAGATCTGGTGCCCTCTTCTGGTGTGCAGACAGAAGGCTGTATACATAATTAATAAATAAAAACTTAAAAAAAACTTTAAAAAATAAAAAAATAAATCTTTATAAAGCATCATGTTTGGGGGCCGGTGAGACAGCTCGGTGCCGGCAGGCACCACGCCTGAAGACCTGAGTTCAGTCCCTACAGGATGGAAAGGGGAACGATTCCTGCCGATTGTCTTCGGATCACACACAGGCACGCCGGGGCACATGACACACGTTCATACAATATGAACAATAAAGAAATGAATGTGAAAAATTAATAGCAAGAAAAATCATAGCTTCAACCTAGAGACGCATGTTGTCTATCAGAAACACAATGTGAGCCCCATATATAATATTAAATGTTCTAGGTCCAGAATCAAAATGTTTAAAATCAAGTGAATTTCACTTTAATGCTCTGTTCTGTCTGAACTTTAATACAAAATTCCTAAATGTTCCCCAAATGCAAACTCTTCAGAACACCGTCACGGATGTCTGGCCAGAAAAGCCTGTCAAATACTCCCAAACCCTAAAACTCCAAACTCTGACGTCATTCTGACCCCAATTTCAGATTAGGGATATGCAACCTGCATTTGATCTAATATTATGCATAAGTTAGAATTTCAGCCAGTAAAAAGGTAAAAATTATTGAAATATAGTTTGCTAATGCCAGGCATGATAGCATTTGCCTTTAATCCCAGTACACAAGGACAGCCAAGGTATATAGAGAGACCCTATCTCAAAAAGAAGGAAAGGAAAGAAGGAAGGAAGGAAGGAAGGAAGGAAGGAAGGAAGATATTTGCTAAGTCCCACGGCCTGTCCCTGGGGCCAGGGCTGAAGAGGGCCCCAGCATCTGGCTCTTGTCCTTTCCCCAAAAGTGACTCATTGATCTCATCTCTCTTCTTCTCACGGCCTCCACATGCCCATCCTCCTCTCCTCCCACTCCCCTTTCCCCCAGGCATCTTCAAAATTGAGGACTCTGCCCAGGTGGCCCGGCTGTGGGGTGTGCGCAAGAACCGGCCGGCCATGAACTACGATAAGCTAAGTCGCTCCATCCGCCAGTATTACAAGAAGGGGATCATCCGCAAACCCGACATCTCTCAGCGCCTGGTCTACCAGTTCGTACATCCCGTCTGAGAGCCGCAGAGACCAGAGGCCTACCGCCTGTCCCAGACACTCACTCTCTTCCTGGCCTGGGCTCAGCCCAATCTGAATCCAGGAGCTGCTGGCATCCCAGAATCCAAGGCCCCAGAGAGACAGTCCTAGGGATGCACGTGAGCTCTCTGAGTCCCTGCTCAAGGACAAGGGCCCCTGGAGGGTCAAGGGAGCTAGGACTGCTCCCAAGTGGAGAACCCCCACCCCCAGGCTTGGACTGTAGGATTCAACCAAGGCAATTCACAGGATGGTGATATCACTGTTTCCTGCTCCTGCGACCCATCCTGTACCATGACTGGCGTGGTACCAAGAGATGTCTGCATCCTATGTTGGGGAGCCAGGAGTGCCCTAGGAATGGTTAATAAAGATACAAGATAACTGCCAGGTCTCCAGTGTCTGGCTATGGACAACCCAGCCGAGAGGCCAGCAGCGGGCAAGGGTGACTGTGGTCACAGGTGTTTAGGGTGGAGACTACAAGGAAAGCTTGCCCAGGGAGGTGTCATGGAGCTGAGCCTAAGAGAAAAATGGTAGCTGTTTGGTAGATATCATAGAAGAGGCAGAACATTCTCCAGGCCAAAGCAGCTAATCTAGCCGGCCACTGTGCCCTCCTCACCCTGGGCCAGGCTGAAGAGCGTCTGTCTCCACACACAGGCCCCAGGTGAGGAAGGCAGCCTCTGCACTTACTCTGCCAGAGAGCAGGGCTTTGCCTCCAGGTGTGCCCAGGTGTGAGGGATTTGGCTCTCCTGCAAGAGGCCCAGAGCTATTATAGTTTCTCAACCACCTAAGGAAGCTGAACCACATGGTGGACTATGGGAGACGGTGGGCGATTCAGTATGTTTATGGGACAGTAGCTTTGTAAGGATGGAGGGTTTGCAGTCTCTGTCCCCCAAAGACTCCCCAAGATGCATTCGTGGGGTTGTGAGTCCCTTTTGTGGGTGTGAGAGCCACCCTAGTATGGGAAGCTGGTCATGCATCTGCCTGCGTGTGGAGACCCCAGCCAGCCTGCTCATTCTCCTCAGCAGCCCAGGGTACCACACTTCCCTGGTTTATTTGCCCAAATCAAGCATCCCTACTGTGCGCCAGCCACTCCTACTGCTTTTTGTCATTGGCGTCCTCAACAAAACCACCGTGAAGCCAGGGTCATTTCTCGCTCTATACACGGTGGACCAGAGGTCCGGCATGCCTGAGCAATTAGCTCACAGTAACACAGCTGTGGATGCCAGGGCCAGAAGCTGGCTCACTCCCTTGTCAAAGGGGTCAGCACCTAGCCCCACAGACCGTAGCTTCTGAGGCCAGTCTTCTAGGAGAAGGGACAGGGTGCCAACACTACCCGGAACACCAGGGGTTTTGGGTTTTTTGTTTCGGTTTGGTTTTTATTACACAGAGACGTTTTTTTTCTGTGTAGCCTTGTTTGTCCTGGAACTTACTCCATAGACCAAGTTGGCCTCGAACTCAAGATCTTCCTGCCTCTGCCCTCTGAGTGCTGGAATTAAAGGTGTGTGCCACCATGCCAGGCTGGACCACCAAGGGTTAAAGGCATCCTGCAGCCTGCCTTTTGCCCCCAGGATTTTATTGTCTCCTGAAGATGTTTACCCCTGACAGTGGGCAAACAGTGACTTGGCATCTGTCACTCGGGGTTGGACTTGACAGGAGGGGAGGACTCTGCCCAGGTCTCTGCCTTGCTAGGCCCCAGCTGTCTCCCTTCTCCAGGGAAGAGGCGGACTGGGACCCTGGCCAGAGGCAGGCTCAACGCTCTGTTAAACTGGTTTTGTCTCCAGCAAATCCATCCTACTCCTCAGGAGTCCCTGAAGTCACACAGGATGTCCCAGCCATGCCTCGGCCAGGCACAAAGCTCAGGCAGGGCTGGGGGTTTCTCAAATGGGCAGGGGGGTTGGGGAGCAGGAACAGCTCCACCTAGAGGAGATCAGAGGGGCAGCTTCCATCAAGGATCATCCAGAAGACTGCAGCTACCCAGTGACACCTCCTGAGCTGGCAGCAAACGATGGATTTGCCTCCCTCTGTTGGCATGGCCCTATTAGGACCTCACCTGGGCAAGACATTTCCTGACCCCTTTTTGGAATCGTGTGTGTGAGTTAAGAGGCCACCACTCTGATTCCTGGGCTGGGCATGGAGGCCTGAGCCTGCAGTGCTAGCATTTGGGAATAGGAGGCAGAAGTTAAAGATCAGCTTCGGCTGCACAACCAGTTAGAGACCAGCTACGTGAGATTCTGTTTATTTTATTTTAGATTTACTTATGCACACGGGTGTTTTGCCTGTACACACATTGCCTGGATGTCTGTACACCACATTCATGCAGTGCCTTCGGAGGTCGGGAGAAGGTGTAGGATCCCCCAGAACTGGAATCACAGAAGGTTGTGAGCTGCCATGTGGGTGCTGGGGATCGAACCTGGGTCCTTTGCTAGAGCAGCCAGTGCTCATAACTGCTGAGCAAACTCTCAGCCCTGGTGAGACTCTAGTTTTAGTGAAAGAAGGGAACGAATAAAGGGGAGGAATATGGAGAAAGGAAAGGGGGAGGGAGGGAAGGAGGGAGAAGGAAAAAGAGAAGGGGAAGGAAGGAAGGCTGGTGAGACGGCTCAGCTGGTAAAGGGTCATGCCAGGAAGCTCAAGGTTGTCCCCTTACCCTCCACAGATCTGGGGGGAGAGAGTGACATGAACACCCTGGGGTGGGGTGCTGTGGGCATCCTGGGGTGGAGGAGTGCCGTGGGCACCCTGGGGAGGAGGGAGTGCTGTGGGCACCCTGGGGTGGGTTGATGTGGGCACCCTGGGTTGGGAGTGCTGTGGGCACCCTGGAGTGGGGGTGCTGGTACAAGGGTTATGTTTGTGTGAGGCTCTGTTAGACCACCAGGGTCAGAAGGGCCTCTTGATTCCTACCCACAGACTGGCAGGGGAAGGCGTGGGTCTCAGAAAAGACCCCGCTGAGATGCAAGCAGGCATCAGAGCTCTAGGATGGCTCCCGGAGGGCCGAGCTCTAGTCCTGCCAGGGCGGATGCCCCCAGGAGGCCTCCTACACAACGTGTTCACAGCAGGCAAGCAGCAGGAGAGCAAGGAGACCCGGTGTCGCTCCGCGGGAGGCCCCAGTCAGGACTGTTGAGAGTTTTAAAACCCAAGACTGTCTGAAGATCGAGTTCCTTGAACCACGGATCGGCTAGTCATTTACTGGCTGATTGTTCTGCCTGGTACGGAAACCACCTCACACGACAGACGAGAACCAACGGGCCATACCTCCAACCTTAGAGCCACGAGTTTGGGACTTTAAATGCCCAGGTCTACTGGTCAGTGCTGTCACCCTTCACCTCGTATCTGAGGCCAGAGCCTCAGTGACCTCCCTAGACCCTCAGCTGCCCGGCACTTATCCTTGCACAGGGCCTCCTCCCCCAGGACAGACATCATCATCACAGAGACTCAGAAGACAAGGCAGGGTGATAGAATTTTGGTTTTATCCACAGTCATACAGTCACAACTGATATATATATATATATTTGTATTTATATACCTTTTATTACACAACCATGTACAAAACATTGCTGAGACCACAGCACTTCTCGGAGCTTCACAAGTGTCGGAACTAATGGAGTCAGGAAGCCTAGGGCGGCAGACGCAGTGGCGGCGGCGGGCGGTGGGGCAGCCTTGGCTCCTCCCTGGAACCAGGCTGCAGGATGGTGGTTTAACTGGGGACAAAACACATCACTGACCGAGCCCTGCAGGGTCCCGTGCAGCATCAATGGGGCCCTTGGGGAGTACAGGAGGGGTGTGGACACAGCGAGGGTATGTGTGCCCCGACACCAGTCATGACAGGTGGGGCCAGGCTCAGGGCTCTAGGGATTTCCAGGGATCCTCCAGCACTGGGGTGCTGAGGAGCTTGAGGAACAAGTCTGGTCACAGATGGGGTCATTGAAGGTGGTTGTTCATAAGGGAGAGAGAGAGATTTTCCAGTCCCTGCCCACGACTGGGCAGCTAGTGTGCTGAGGGGGGCAGGCCTGGGGTCTAGTCAGGGCCACAGCCCCTTTCCAGATGCTGGGAAGCCGCTAGCGCAGAGGGGGAGCCCAGGCCCCAAGGTGCAGACATGGCGGCTTCTTGCCTTTCTAGGGTGGAGGATTCCTGCCAGCCGGGGAGGCAGGAAGAGCTATGGAAAAAGGAAGGTTCCGAATCCTGCTTCAGGTCCTGAGGGGCCCAGCATCCAACCTTGGCTGAAGCAGAAGTCCCTAGGGCAAACGGTGACAAGGGAGAGGATGCTGGCAGCCCTAGGATGCCACGCTCATGGTCCTGAGGAAGGACTGACCCCCATAGGCCCCTGCCACCGCCCTAACCACGAGAAGAGGGTCAGAGCCCCGATGCCTGGGTCCAAGACCAGACAGTGTCAGAAGTAGCTCAAGGGTCCTAGAGAACATAAGGACGCATGCTCTTTCCCTGGAGGCCCCAAAGCCACCCGATCCGGGAGGCAGAGGGTGTCAGTGGCTCAGAGGCCTAGTAGATACTGGCTGTGAGCATGGAACTCCTCAGGTCCTTGTTCCCAAAGTTTCGGATAAACAGACTCTGCCCATTCTCCCCTCTGGGGTGTTATCCAGCCTGTCTGCTTCCCACGCCACCCAAAGGAGAGCTGCCACCGCTTTCCACCCACAAGGCCCTGTGTCCCTTCCCACCACCCAGAGTCCTTTAATGGAGACTCAGGCTCAGAGAAATTGCGGGAGGTGGCTGCCAGCATTCAGGGGGTAATGTTGGAAAACCAAAAGGGACAGAAAGATAGGGTGACCATCCAGAGCTCCTTTCTCATGCCAGCCTGGGCTGCTGGCTTCCCCATCAAGGGCCAGGCTGGATGCTCCCCTGAGCCCACGGGTCTCCCCAGTCGAGAGGGGACCTGGATGCTCCCCTGAGCCCGTGTCTCCCCAGTCTAGAGGGGACCTGGATGCTCCCCTGAGCCCGTGTCTCCCCAGTCTAGAGGGGACCTGGATGCTCCCCTGAGCCCGTGTCTCCCAGGTTGGCCAGGTGACAGAAACAAGAAAAGGGAGGTTGAGAGCCTTGCGTACTGGCTTCACAAAGGCCGATGCTGACACAGAGAAGGGTGGGGCATTTCTGGATGGCCATGAAGGACGGGGGACGGATGCCCAATGCCTTTTCCCCAGGGAACGGGAGAAGGCTGCTACTGTTGCTGGCTTTGCCCTGGGCTTGGGTGAGGGGGGCTTTGCCCAGTGTCAAGGCCTCAGGAGAAGGCAGGGCCTCTGCTAGCTGCAGAATGGCTCTGGGGATCCTCTGACCACGGCCCAGACAAGGTTTTCATCCCTCAAAATGGGTCTGGCACTGGGAGGTTGGCACAGCCTGGATAGGATCTGCTCTTCCCCTCACTCTCCCGTGTGCCAGGGACACCATCACTTCCTCTAGCTCTGGAGAGCCCTGGAAGCTCCACAGATAAGCGTGATCAAAAGATCAGGACTGGGAGAACAGCACCCCCAGGGCAGAGTGGAAGACTACAGATTGGGAGGCCTCCTTCTTGGGATGTGGAGGAGGGTAGTAAGCTGGGCGGTGGTGGCACACGCCTTTAATCCCATAACTCGGGAGGCAGAGGCAGGTGGATCTCTGTGAGTTCGAGGTCAGCCTGGTCTACAAAGTGAGTTCCAGGACAGCCAGGGCTACACAGAGAAACCCTGCCTTGAAAAACCAAAAACCAAAAAATAAATAAACAAATAAATAAATAAAAAAGAAGGGGGTAGTGGTAGAAGTTGGGAGGGGGGAGCGGGGGAAGGAGGAAGAGGTGAAGAAGCCAGGCTCAGGTGACAAGGGCAGCTGCTGGCAGCCTGAGGTGGGGCAGGGGAGAAAAGCAGGGTAGAAGGATCCAGAAGGTATCCCTCAGGGCTCAGGAGACTCTTTGGTGGACTCTGTAGAGCAGATGTGACATTGGGCTAAATCCCTTGTCCACGCTGGGGCCGTTGTCCTAAGCCCCACCACCCTGGCCTCCATCCAGGTAGGCCGCAAATGCTGTCTCTGCATTTCTTTTGTTCTGTTTGACTTTTAAAAAAATAAAAGCTTGATCGGAAAATATGTCTGGAACTCTATGGCGAGGGGAGGGAGTGGGTGGGAGCGGTGGACAAGGAGCGAGAGGACTTGGATGGGCAGGGTAGCTAGATGGCCTCAACGTAGTTGGCAGGATAGAGGCCCAGCTGCCCGCTGTCAAGCCGCCCGCGGCACCAGCCCTGCTCATCTTCTTCTCCCAGCTTGGTGAGCTCGTCTCCTGGGGAGGGGGACACGAGGGCACCTTGTTATGATGGACAGGCACTCAGTCCGAACTGTCCCTTAGCCCAAAACTGTTAAATGAACCCTCCAGGGCACTCCAACTGAATTACCTGGACTCCAATTCGGGGCTACACCTCACTCAAAAACCAAGTGCTGCCCCGGACCCACTTCAGCCAGCACCCGAGACTCGGCCCCATCCTCCATGCCTAAACCTCTGCCCTGGCCCCCTTACCTGCCAACCCTTGAAACACCTGTCTCCAAGCCTTGCACTGCCCAATCCAAGCCCCGTCTTCTCTGCTAGCCCCGCCCCCTCAGCCCTGCTCGCTTACCCGCCTTGAAGCTGAGTTCGTCCTGTTCCTGGCCATCGTAGTCGTAGAGCGCCCGCACACGTACCCCTTTGGCGTCATCCTCGAAGGGGTTGGCGCCGCCATTGGCCTCATTGCCCCCGAAGGGGTTCCCGCTCTCATCGTCTGACCACTCGGCGGCGTACGGTTGGCCTCGGTCATAGCTGCTAACACTGGGGTGCAAACGGAGGTCCCGATCAGCGGCCTTGACCCCATCCTATCAATACTCTCTCCTAAACAGAGCTTGGGTCCAAATTCTACCGAGGCTGGGGCAGAGACTGGATGCACGGGGCGGGGTCAGAGCCAGTGACCCTCTGACAACTTGAACCTTGTGCCTTAGTATTTCAGCTCCTGAGGGAGGAAGTGTTGCAGAGGACCTCGAGACTGTCTGACCCTGTGACCCTGTGAAAGAGGCACCATCCCTAAATGGATACCAGCTAAGATCTGGAGTGGAGAACCTTCTCTTGGACATGTTACCTCGTCGCTCAAGACAGGGTTTCTCTGTAGCTTTGGAGCCTGCCCTGGAACTCGCTCTGTATACCAGGCTGGCTTCGAACTCACAGAGATCCGCCTGCCTCTGCCTCCCGAATGCTGGGACTCAAGGCGTGCGCCACCACCGCCCGGCAAAATGCACATATTTACACATTCCCCGGCTGGTCAGAGGCTTGAATCCATTGATGTGGGAGCCTAGAATACTGTGTACCTCACTCACAGCAGTCTTGAAGGGTCACCCATCTGCTTCTCAGTGGACACATGGTAGCTATGGTCTGGGGTAATTTCTTGTCTTCTTGGATAAAATGTATCTGTCCCAGTATGTTGGTCTCCCTCCTACGCAGGAACTCCATGGAAGGTACTCACCTGCCACGGTCCCCAGCCTGGGATGTGGACTCTACAGCCCCTGTGGCATTGCTCAGTGTGGCCCCCTCTGCCTTCTTAGGCGGTTTCTCCTTCTTGGCAGTGGTGTGGGGGAGGTCTGGGTTCCACTCCTGGGGGTGGAGAGAAGTCAAGCCAAAAGGTCTGAGCTGTCAGGACCCTCCTAACCTGCTAAGGATCCCCCCTTTACCACGCTTCCCACTCTCACCTCAAACTGAGGCCAGTTCATGGGCATTCCAGGGCCACTGGTGCTGCGGAACCACCTGAGGTCCTCCTGGGCATCGGCACCCCTGATGGCCTGCTCCAGTTCTCGGTAGACGTGGGTGTAGCTGTGCAGGAGAGGGCCACAGGGTTCCCATCTCATTCAGAGGCTAGGACGCTAGGCACATCCCAGCCAGGAAGCAGAAGCATCCCCTTGCCTTTTGTTAAAATTGCATTTATCTATTTTACATGTGTGTGTGTGTTTTGCCTGCATGAATGTGTTTACGCCATGTGTGTCCCTGGTGTTCTCGGAGGCCAGAAGAGAGCATTGGATTCCCTGCAGCTGAAGTCAGGGTGTTCGTGGATTCCCTGGAGCTGAAGTCGGGGTGTCTGTGGATTCCCTGGAGCTGAAGTAGTGGTGTCTGTGGATTCCCTGGAGCTGAAGTCGGGGTATCTGCGGATTCCCTGGAGCTGAAGTAGGGGTGTCTGTGGATTCCCTGGAGCTGAAGTCGGGGTATCTGCGGATTCCCTGGAGCTGAAGTAGGGGTGTCTGTGGATTCCCTGCAGCTGAAGTCAGGGTGTCTGTGGATTCCCTGCAGCTGAAGTCAGGGTGTCTGTGAACTACCAAGCAGGTGTTGGGAATCTTGGTGCTTTGCTGCTGAGCGGTGTCTCCAGACCTTTAACTTGTATTTTTGTTTGTTTTAGTTGTTCGAGACAGGGTTTCTCTAAGTAGCTCTGGCTGTCCTGGAACTCACTCTGTAGACCAGGCTAGCCTCAACCGCACAGAGATAGGTGGGTGCACCTACCTCTGTCTCTTGAGAGCTGGGATTAAAGGTGTGTGCTGCTACTATCTAGCTTTTAACTTTTTTTAACGTTTTTTTTTTTCCTGAAACTTTTGTTTTGAGACAGAGTCTTTCTATGTAGCCTTGGCTAGCTTTGAACTCATAGAGATCTGCTTGCTGCTTCCCAAGAGCTGGGGATTAAAGGTGTTCAGCAAGACATTTTTTAAGAGACTTATTTTTATTTATGTGTCTGTGAGTGGATACCACATGTGTCTATGGCCTGGAGGCCAAAGGTGGGGCCACCACAAGGGGGTGCCGGGAACCCAACTCTGTAGGAGCAGCAAGTGCACCAGTTGAGTCTCCAGCCCAAGATTTATTTATCCTTTAGTTTTATTTTATATGTGTGTGCCTGTGCATCTGACTGCAAGTGTCCCCAGAGGCCAGAAGAGGGCGGCAGAACCTCTGTCACTGGAGTCACAGTCAGTTGTGAGCTACCCGATGTGAGTTCCAGGAACAGAGCTCAGGTCTTCCCTTCAGCCCCAGCCAAATGCTTCCTGGGAGCAGCCCTGGCTCTCTCAGCCCCAGTGGCCTGACCATGGCCATGCACGGACACCCAGGATCGTGTTTCTGGGGTAACTAGAGAGCACCACCCCACCCCTGCAACAGCTGCATCTGCAGACTCTCCCAATACCCCCCTGCAAGTCCCCCTGCCCTCGCCTCCCATCACCAGACCTGGGACTGAGTGGGCCATGCACAGGTACCTGCTGTTCTCTGCTAGATTGAGGTGCCGTTTGATATCTAGCAGGACTTCCTTGAGGAAGACCAGGCGCTTCTCCTCAAACTGCTGGCACTGCTCGAACACCTGCTCCATGCCCTCCATGTACTGGGGTGTGGTTTTGCCCACATCCTCCAGCACCTTCTCATACTTCTCCTGAGTCTGTGGGTACCAGGGCGGAGGATGGGGTGAGGCCTTATGAGGCCTGCAACTCCTAGCTGCCACCCTCAGGACCACCCCCATTCCCACAGGAGCCCTTTGCACATCCTCCCCACAGGTATCTTCTGCACGTCCTCCCCACAGGGACCTTCTGCAGTCCTCCCCACAGGGACCTTCTGCAGTCCTCCCCACAGGGACCTTCTGCAGTCCTCCCCATAGGGACCCTTTGCATGTCCTCCCCACAGGTACCTTCTGCACGTCCTGCCTGCACTTGTCCACTTTGTCCAGAAGTTTCTTCTGCTGCTCAGGGGTGACCGACTGCTCCGTCTTACTGTTCATCTCCCGAGTCATGGCCAGCTTCTCCTCTTTGCAAGCCAGATGATAGGCCTTCTTGGCCGCCTCCAGCTGTGGGGAGAAGGCCAGGGTGGGTGTGCACGTGGTCACCCCTCACCAATACCTAACTGCCCATCCCCCGACACTATGGAGCAGCCCTTTTAAGAGGCAAGCGGCTGCTGGCTCTGGCTACGAGGCTTTGCCCAATGCCCTCATCTGCAGGAGCTGCCCCACACGACACGGCTCACAGTCTCTGCAGACATGTCCATCATGGGATCTGTGGAGCCATCTGGCTGTGTGCTAGGGGAAGCACACTGGGTACTAGAGACCCCATGTGAACAGTTCTTTCTGCAGATGTTGAGGTCCTGTGAGTGCCCTCCCTCTTCACAGATGCCCTCCTGTGACATGCCACCCCTGAGCTGGCCCCTGTGAGTGCCCTCCCTCTCCACAGATGCCCTCCTGTGACATGCCACCCCTGAGCTGGCCCCCCCATCCCGCCTGTCTGAGGCACCTCCTTCATCTTCTTGGCCCAGGGCTTCTGGGCCTTGCGGAAGCCATCCTCTGCCTCCTTGGTCTCCTTGAAGCCACCCATGATCTGCTTGTGGTAGGCGTCCTTCTGCCAGTTCTTGACCTTCTCCAGGTCCTCGTTCAGCAGGCTGTTCTTCACCTCCTGGTGCAGCTCGCTCACCTTATCTGCCTCTGTCATCATGGCACCCCAGGCCCGCTCCAGACTGCCATACTGCGGACCTGAGGGAAAGTCAGGGAGCTAAGGGACCCCAGCACACAATGCCCACAGTCCTCTGATGCTTCCCCTCTTCCAGGGGCAACAGAAACCCCTTCCCACACTGTCCCCAAACTTTTATCCATCCTCTTTTTTTATTTTCTAAGTTGTTGACTTTCTGAGACAGGGTTTCTCTGTATAGTCCTGGCTGTCCTGGAACTCGCTCTGTAGACCAGGCTGGGCTCAAACTCACAGAGACCCACCCACCTCTGCTTCCCGAGTGCTGGGATTAAAGGCGTGTGCCTTTCTGAGCTTTATAAACTCCCTGATTATGACAGCCGAAGGATGGTGGCCCGAGCAACTGGCGTTCTTCGATATTTGGAGAGTTTGGGAATGGGGGTCAGGGTGCTAGTGCTAACTTCCCAAAAACAGTTCAGAAAAAAACGTGCATGCTAACGGAGGAAAAGCCTGGGGCAGATCTCAAGTTTATGGCCAGCCTGGGCTGCAGAGGGAGTTCTAGGTACTCTAGGTGTGAGGGTTACAGTCTGTCTAAAGAAACAAGAGAGATGTTACGGGGGGGGGGGGGGGGGGAGATAGAGAGAGGGAGAGAGAGAGAGAGAGAGGGAGAGAGAGAGAGAGAGAGAGAGAAGCTAGGCATGGCCAGCTACACCTGGAATCTTCAATTTAGGAAGGGGAGGAAGAAACATCAGGATTTCAGGATCATTCTCAGCCACACAGAGGGTTGGAGGTCAGCCTGGGCTACATAAGATTCTGTCTCAAAATGAAACAGAAAGCTACAGTGAAATGTTATTGTTAGTGGTGAAGCTGGCTCAGGGTAGCCAGGGTTTCTCTGCACTATAAATGTGACTTTTTGGGACGTTTCTTTCAAAAGAAAAACTGATGATTGTGTGTGTGTGTGTGTGTGTGTGTGTGTGTGTGTGTGTGTGTTTTCATTCTCGAGTTGTACAAAGTAGGAGAATAAAGGGGCACCCTGATTGTGAAAAGCCCTGTGGCTGGGATGCTGGTGCACTGGGGTCCCGCCCTGGGGCACCCGCTAGAGCCCGGGGGTGGGGCACCTTTCTCGATGAGCTGACGCCAGCGCTTAGCCCAGTCGGTGAGCTGCTGCGCATAGGCTTTCTCGATCTTGGCGCGCTCCTGCACGCAGCTCATGAGGTCGTTGCACAGGCGGTGACCATCGTCGATGCGTTTCACCGTCCGCTTGTAGTTCCCCACCTGGCGGCAGAGCAGCTAGTGACCGGGAGCCCCTGTGATCCTGGCCCTGGCCTGCAGGGGGCGCGGCGCCTCCTGTCATCCACCTCGCGGAGTCCCGGAACTCCACGTCAGACCACACGGTCTCCACCTACCCACCTCCTCCAAAACCTCCTCACTGCCATAAAAAGCAGAAGGGGTTTTATATAATTTGGACTTGGACTAGAATGAATTATTCATTTTGCTCTTGTGAGCTAAATCTATTATATTTATACGAGTCATATAAGCGCAAGCGGAGCTACTGTTTCTTGACATAATATTATGTTTTGTGGACATCTCATTAAGTACTTATTAATCTAGGCCCGCCAGTTTGCTTTTTGGTTCCAAAGCCAAAAGCAATATATATATATATTTTTTTTTCCTCCAAGGCTCAAATACTCTCAGAAGCCCCTGAAATGCTGGCTTATAGACCCAGCTCTCCGGTTCAGAAGTCCACCCTCTGCCCACCATGCAGGGGGTAGAGCGGGAACAGCTAGGTAGGCTATGAGAACTGTGAAGTACAGCAGACGCTGGTGGGAAGGGCTGGGCATTGTCCACTCGGGAGGGACCTGGTCCCAGAGTGTGAGCTGCTACAGGCAGCGTCCAGGGAGCAACTGCAGGCCTCAGCTGCCTGTTGGACACTGGGGATTCTGAAGAGGCCCAAGGAATTGGGGAGCAAGGCTGAGGTCATGGATTGAGTCGGGGTACAGACAAGAGCCTAGACCTCCGCTCACCTCCCAGAAGCTGTCTGTGACCTCGTCCGAGGCTTCATCATAGGAGCCAGACATGGCGTAGCCGGAAGGAGCCAGGCAGGTGCGGATGGGCAGTCAGGGACTTCGCGCTCACAAGCTGCAAGGGATAGGGCCACAGAGATGAGCCTCAAACTGGGATGGCGGCCTCCTGGAAGGGCTTCCCATGCCAAGGATAACCCCAGGATTCAGTCTGTAGTTTCTGGTGCGTGGTCTCCATGCCTGCTCCTTCCCTCCCAGGATTCTGCTGACAGCCTCTCCTCAAAAGCCATCTCCCTGAGGAAGCCCTCCCTTCCAGCTTATACAAGCCTTCCTCACATACCAGGGAGCGCCAGTTAGTTTCCTAGCTGGTGCCCCCCTCTCCTCAGCACCGCCTGACCCAGCTGGACCCCGACACTAGATCCTGGATTCCCCTGGCCTCAACACAGAGCCTCTGGTCTTGTTCCCTGGAGTCCCAGCTTCTGTCATGACAGGAGATCTTTCTCCCACTTATATCCCGAGCTAAGGGTTCCCCCAATTTTTCCAGTTGGACCCTGCCCGTCTTCTTTTGGCTGCCCAAGTCCTGCCTCGACGGCCCCATTAGCTGTCTGCAGTCTCCCGCACACGGCTGAGCACGTGGTTCTCCGGCCTTGGGGGTCACACTGTCATCTACACAATATCCCGGGCCTGTGTCTGCCCCGGATCTGTCATCAGCATCACAGCTGCCCAATCTAGGCCAGGCTCTGCCCCAGGGGCCAGGGGGCACACCCCTCCCCTCCCGGGCCTCACTGTCACCCAGCTGAGAATTGTTCAATGATCAGGAAACAAGCCACAGAGGACCAAGGGCTTAGCCTTCAAAGAGGCAGCCACGGCTCCTGGGCATTTCCTTGTCTGTGCGATGCAGCTATGGGCTTGAACCCTGACCCGTAAGGTCTCTGGGTGAGGGTTGACCAGCTCTGCAAGCTTCAGCTCCACCTGGGAGAGGCCACTCACTGTCCCTCAGGCTCAAAGCAAGTGGCACCAAGACATGAGGATCCTGGGTGAAGGATGCCCCTCCCCCAGCCCCGTCTCTCTCCTTCTGGGCCTGGTGCCCCATTCCTGGGATGATCCAGTATGGCCTCCTTGTGGCACCTGGGACTGAAGATCAGAATTGCCACAAGCCTCTTGGCCTCTGTGACGGGGGATGGGGCGGTACTGTCATGGCCTGGTCTCACAGGATGTATTCTCCCCCGCCAAGTATTGGCTAGGAATTCCCATTCAGAGCACAAGCCAAACAACCACAAGCTGGTTCAGTGCAACAGGACGGGTCAACAAAGGCTGGGGGTGACCCAAGTCCATGCTGCTGGGGCACTGGCTAAGGGAATGACAGAGCAGACTTGCAGCCTGCACCCATCCCAAGCCACACAGGCCAAGTGATGCGACACCATGCAGAGCGGCCTGGCTGGAAAATACACACACACACACATACACACGCGCGCACACACACACACGCACACTATATATATATATATATACATGGGACTGTTTTATATAAAAGGGACTATTTTAGAAAGACCACAGAGCAAAATGGGAATGGTGGTAAGCCTCAGAAAAGTGTGGGACTGGGAGCCGGGTGGAACGGGTCTCTCACACTGGGATCACCTGAGCCTCTCACACTTCTGCTTGTGGATAAACTGAATTTCTTTTTGTTATATATTTTATGGTCTATTTAACTTTATTTTATATGCATTGGTTTGAAGGTGTCAGATCCCCTGCAACTGGATCTTCAGACAGTTGTGGGTGCTGGGAATTGAACCCGGGTCCTCTGGAAGAGCAGCCAGTGCTCTTAACCACGGAACCATCTCTCCAGTCCCCCTGAATTTCTTTTAAATCATGTGCATGATTTTAAGGATCTCTGTGGAAGCATTCTCTTCATTTACGGTTGGCGTAGGAGTGCCCAGCCCGCTGTGGGCAGGACCACCCTGGGCAGGTGGCCCTGGGCCCCATGAGAAAGCAGGACCAGCAAGTCCGTCAGCAGCGTCCCCGTGTTTCCTGCCTCTGCTCTTGTTGACCTTCAGCCACCAACAGTGATTGGGGTGTGTAAGTCAAATGAACCCTCTCCTCCCCAGCTGCTTTGGGTCGTGGTGTCTGTTACATTAACAGAAAGCCAACTAGGACGCGTGGTGACCAGGGGTCAGGTCCTCAGGTATGTGTGGGAGTGCTTTACCCACTGAGCCATCTCCCAGCCCACGAACTGTATTTCAGAAACAAAACTAAAGTGGTGTGTGTGTGCCTGTGTCTTTGCGTGTGTGTGTGCATGTCTGCATGTGTGTGCACGTGTGTGCGTGTGTGTCTGCATGTGTGTGCGTGCATGTGCATGCGTGCATGTGGGGGGGTCTGGCTACTCTTCCAGAGGACCTGACGTCAATCCCAGCACCCACATGGTGGTTTACAACAAGCTAACTCCAGCCTCAGGGGATCCAATGCTCTTTTCTGGCCTCCACAGGCATTGTATACAATGTGGTATACAGATGCACATACAGGCCAAACACTTCTACACACAAAGTAAAAGAAATTAAAAAAAAAAAAGTTGGGCTGGGCGGTGGTGGCACACATCTTTAACCCCAGCACTCAGAAGGCAGAGGCAGGTGGATCTCTGTGAGTTTGAGGCCAGCCTGGTCTACAGAGAGTTCCAGGACAGCTGGGGCTACACAGAGAAACTCTGTCTCCAAAAAAAAAAAAAAAACAAAACAAACAAACAAACAAAAAAAAGGTGTCGTAGGTGGTGGTACAAACCTTTAATACTAGCATTTAGGAGGCAGGAGCATCTCTCCGAGTTTGAGGTCTGTTTGGTTTACATAGGACATTCATGGCTACATAGTAAGACCCTGTCTCAATGACAACAAAACCAATTCACCCTGGAGTAAGAATCTACGGCCTGGGAGCTTGGCTGAGGGTGTCCTCCCAGCATCAGCAGGGACAGTCTGACTAGGACCTGGAGTGTCAGGCCGAGAGCCCCAAGGCTCCGACAGCAGGGCTTGCATGACTCTCCTGGGCTCCCAGCTGAGGTAGCATGTAGCACAAGAAAGGTCCAGTACCAACTTGCTCTGACTCTGGGCAGTTATGTGGTCCCTCTAGGCCTTGTTGGAAAATGACCTGACTTCAGAATTAGATGTGGGACTGGAAAGACGACCCAGAGGCTAGGAATGCTGGCTGCTCTTCCAGGGGACGGGAGTTTGGGTCCCAGCACCCTTGTCAGGTGGCTCATAACCTCCTGTAAGTCCAGGCACCAGACCCACACACAAATATACACATGATTAAAAATAAAAAGTCTTAATTTATGAGAGAGAGAGAGAGAGAATGAATTAGTTGAGTTATCCAGCCCAGTCCAGGGCAGATTCTAGGCCGTGTGTGTTCCAGCTACTCCGGGTTGCACCCACATGGGATGTGCTTAGAAGGGAGGCAGGTTAGATGGTGGAAGAGGGGTGTCAAATGAGCCCCCAGTGCCACACACACACACTCGCAGGCAGGAGGAGGTTCTCTTCCTACAAAAGGCCACGTTCTTCTTAATGATGGGGCTGTTTCAGGGGTCAGGAAGTGGGTGTGACTGGCATCTGGCACTTCCTGTGTCACACCCAGCAGGCTCCTAGGCGAGGCAAAGGCCACCACATCCGGTTCCCTATAGCCGGTCATCATCAATATCAACAGGTGGCAATCACCAAGTCATGGGCTCAGGGGTGTCACTGTGAGGAGTCTGTCGGGGCCTGGGTAAGTATGACAGGGTCCCAGGGAACAGTCATTCCAAGGTGACCAGCTGCCCAGCAGCTAACACTGCTTCAGGCCATGAGGGTCACAGCAACAGCCAGTAAGCACGGGTTTGCTTGTCTGTCCTGTGTCTGTACCCACTGGCTTGGAGGTGGAGCAAGGACCAAGCAGGTGGGAGACTCTAGGGGCCAACGCCCACTTGGCGGGACTGAAGGGGCACACCCAGAGTGGAGGGGGCTCTGGTGGAGAGTGGAGTAGAGGGATGGACACAGGGAAAGGAGCCTTTCCCCCAGGGTGCACGGGCATCTACAGCCAGGGGTGGGGGGCAGAGGAAAGATAATACCGCTGGGGGCACTCCTGCCTAGCGACATGGGAACCCCTGGTTCCCAAGCCCCCTGATGCTGGGGTTGAGATATGTACCAGCAGCTCCCCACTTTCCTCTCTCTCAGCCTCACAGAAGCCTCCTTCTCCCCATCTCCTGGCTGCTGGTCTGTGTCTCTTGGGAACTCTAACTAGCAGTCCCTGAAGGGAAAGAGCACCTAGGATTGGGAGCCCAGAGTCCTGCTCCAAGTCCACTTTCTTTATTATATAGCACATATTATTGTTGCTGCTGGCAGGCCTTACGTAGCCCAGGCTGCCTCACATTCACTATATAGTAGATGATGGTCTTGAGTTTTTGATGCCCCTGCCTCCACCTCCCCAGTGATAGGGTCACTGGGCTATCATGCCCAGTGTACACTGAACAGGACTTCTGCGTGCTGACAAGAGCTCTCAGCTGAGTTGGAGCCCCAGCCACTGCTGTAAAAGTGGTGATGACATCAATGCTGGCGGGCACCAGCTCATATTCACTGAGAGTCCACTCTGGGCTAGGTACCGGTCTACATGCTTTACGTGTACCTCATCTACATGTAAAGGCGGAGAAACTGAGGCACGAGGCAGATAAGATGGCACAGCCAGGGCCACGAAGGTGGTGAATGGCGGAATTGGGTCCAACCCTGGCTACAGATAAAGACCCCCCCTCTCTTCGGGTCCCTTCTGAGCCCCGCCTCCCCAGGAGAAGAGGAGGAAGCCAGATGAGAGCATGGGGTGTGGGTGTGTGCGAGCGGGCAGAGAGGTGAAGCAGCAGGCCTAGGTCACACAGCACCCAAGGCACTCTGGGCTGGCTGGGTCCTCCTCTGTCCCTGCTCCCAGGTGTCCAGCCCACCACTGCAATGTCCTCAGACTCCTGGGTCAGTCAGAGCAGCCTCCAGTTCCACACACGCCCACTGGCTCCCAGCTCTCTTCTCCCTTAGAAATGGTCAGATCAAGCCAGGCAGTGGTGGCACACACCTTTAGTCCCAGCATTGGGGGGCAGAGGCAGGTGGATCTCTGTGAGTT